TGAACACGATGAAGATGCTGCTAACAGGCTCTGGGTCAGCCACACGCAGTAACTCATTGTATTCTCATAACCACCCGGTGTGTAGATGCTATTATGACCCCTGTTGAATAGATGTGGAAATGAAGGCTCAGAGTGGTTAAGTAACTTGCCCCAGGTCACAGAGCTAGCACGTGACCTGTATCTGAGCTGAAAGCCAGTCTACCCACAGCTGAGAGGTAGTGGGTAGATGGAGAACAGGACCAGTGGACGAATGGATGAAGGATTAACTCCCTGAGTCCTCCCACCCCCTTACTAGTCTTGAGTATAGGTGATGTTGGTACTGAAGCACTTGGGAAGCACTGACCATGGTCCTTACTTGCTCTCTCCCAACAGGGACTGGAGCTGAATGAAGAACAGGGCACCCCCTCATTGGTGCCTGCTTCATTGCCCCAGAATGTCAACTCTAGTCTCAGGAGGTTAGACTGGAGAAAATCCTTCCAGTTTGAAATTTGCTGCACGTTTATTGAGTCCCACCCATACATCAGACCCTGAACCAGGGGAAGGGGCAGGATTCAATGCTGCAAAGTTGAACAGGACCTCCCTTTCTGCCTTAGAAAAGCAGTTGGATGTGAGGGAGAACGCATGATAAAGGGTTACTTAGTTCTTCCAGGTGCCAAGAGTTTTCCAAGGGGTATGAGCTGAGGATTATGGGAGCACAGAGGAGAGAGGGACCATCTTTGAATGTCTGACTATCCAGAGAGGGACATTTTGGACTGGGCCTTGAAGGATGTTCATGAGTTCACCATTCCAGACCTGCTTTTTGCAGATTTAAATTTCAGCTGGGGGGCTTGGTGTGGCAGGGACAGGTCTCTTTTGGGCAGCAGCTGGAGGTGGAGGCAAGACCAGGCCAGGCAGAGCCCTACAAGTATGCTGCAGAGGCTTCTAAGTGCGGGGTGAGGTGATCAGCTCGCACCTGAGAATGGTCTGTAACTCTGTGGGATGAAGGGAGACAAGGCTGGTGGAAGGATAATTGGTCCGAACTAGTGCAGTGGTGGTGGGCTGGGGAGGAGGGTTGAGATTCGGCAGCCTCTTTGGAGTTCCCTTCTGGGCCATGATGGCTGACTGGCTGGCAGGGTGAGGAAAAGGAAGAAGGAGTTACAGGAAGGAGCGTGCAGGTGCCCAGGGAGCAAGGAAGGACCCACGCGATGGCCTCTGTTCTCAGTCCCCAGCATCCCCTTTTGTCCTCTTGCTTTCTGAGGGATCCTGTGCTCTGGATTCTGCGTTAGTTATCGGTATTAGCTACCCACCACACTTAGAAGTTTAAAACAAATAGAAAGTTTATCACCTCACATAGTTTCTCTGAGTCCGGGAATCATGAGTGACTTAGCTGGGCAGTTTGAACTCTGGGGCTCCCATAAACCTGCCGTCAAGCTGTGAGCCGGGGTGACAGTCATCTGAGAGCCTGACTGTAGCTGGGGGATTCACTGCCAGGGGGCGTCTGTCATGTGCCGGCCAAGGTGCTGCTGGCTGGTGGCTGGAGGCCTCAGCTGTCCGCCACGTGGCCCTCTCCATACGGCTGCTTGAGTGTCCTCATGACAGGATAGCCGGCTCCCCCCAGAGTGAGGGACCCAAGAGACCAAGGCTGAAGCCACAATGCCTATGCCGATGGCCTCAGAAGTCACCTGTCATCATTTCTCTGAGAGCTGATTGGGTACGCAAACCAAACCCTATTCGTGGTGGGAGGGGACTACAGATGGGTGTGCACATCGGGAGGTGAGGAACACTAGGGCCACGTGGGAGACTGGCTGCCACGGTTTCCCTTTCCGTAACACATTTGAATGTGCGGAAGGGCAAGCCCAAGTTTCAAACTGCGGAAGGAAGATGCTCTGTGGGAGAAGACCTGAGAAAGGTGACTGAGATATAAAGGTGCCTTCCTTAGAGGAGACCCAGGGCAAGAGAGCCCCCTGGGAATTGTTTCTGAAGGTGTAAAAATCTATCCCCCAGGGCGTGGCCACACCTGCCACTTGAGTTCTTTTGCTGAGCTTCTGCCTTCAGGGCTGGGAGCTGGGGGCTGGGGGCAGTCTTTTTTCATTCTCCACTTTCAAGGACAAGCTCCGCATTCCAGCACACAGCCAGCACTCGGCCCATTGTACTGCGTTGCCCAATGATTTCTCCATCTGCCCTCCATTCAGGGACATTTGTTGAGCGTCCGCCCACTGTGTGACAGGCAGGGCTGCCCTGTATGCTCACACAGGCCACTCAGTGCCAAAGGCGCCTACAGAAGAGAGCCCTGCTTTGCCCACCAAACATGAACCCATGTACAAGGCTGCGTCCAAGGGGAGGAAAAGCACCTTCTTACTGTTCCCACTAAGACATCGTACTCAGCTGTGTGTCCACGTGGCTGGTCTACCCAGAGGGTGGGACTTTTGCTCATTTGCACAAAGATACTGTTTGGTGCTGTGGCCCTGGAGCAGATACTAGTCTAGCTGTTGGGGATATGGTATGAGTGAAACAGGTATGCTCCCGCCCTCACGAGTCTAGTCTAGCACGATATACTATACATATGTAAACAGGAGTTACCCCACGTGACTTTGGATTGTGAGCCGTGCGAAGAAATGATCAGGGTGCTGTGGGTAAAGAATAATGGGGAAACTTACTGTAATTTGGGTGGTCAGGGAAAGCCTCTTTGGGAAAATGACTTTCAGGGGCTTCCAGAAGCAGATTTGGGGTGGTGAACAGTGGAGAGCAGGGCTGAGGGAGAGCATTCCAGGCGCTAGAACAGCAAGTACAAAGGCCCTGAGGTAGGAGAGAGCTTAGTGCATTGGGAACTGTCAGAAGTATGCTGGTAGAAGATGGAGTCTTGGCTCCCACCGTGCTGCCAGACTGGGATCGGGAGGCCCAGAGTGGACACTTACAGATGCCTTTGGGGTTGAATATGAGATGTGGGGGGGAGGGTTGTGGCTCAGGAAAAGAGCGTGGTGTTGGACATGATTAAATGGGGGTGCACCTAAACTCCGGGGGAGATCAGGTCCAACGGAGCCAGCATCTAAGCCTCTGCTGTGTACCAGGCACTGTGTAGTGTGACTGTGTGTCTGTGTGTGTGAGGTAGAGAGGGGAGAGACAGGGGAGAGAGAGAGAGAGAGATATCTTTCCCTTGATGGAGCTCAGAGCTGTAGGAAGCAAGGTGGTGGCAGGAAGTGTGGATTCTGTGAGGATACCAGCAAGAAGGTAGGGAATAGTGGATGAGGCTGCCCAAGACTTTTTCTGCAAGGCCTGAGGTTTGATTAGTGGAGGAAGAGGAAAGATTCCCTCAGTTTGCAGGCAGTGGCCGGGTTGGGATCGCTCCTGGCTGTGGGGCTGGGAGGGCCTTCCAAGCTCAGGCCACAAGGCCTGAGGCTTTGTCAATTCCACATTCCACAGCCAGAAAAGAAGGCATAGGGGGTGGGGCCGCTGCTATCAGAGTGGAAACACCTTCTGGAGGGGAGTCGCCACCTGGGGCAGTGGGGGGTAGGGGAGAGAGGGGGAGAGAAGCAGAAAGGCTAGCCAGATGGGCTTGACTTGGGTGGCCACTGGGTGGGTATGTCCTGACGTGGCCAGGGGTGGAGAAGTCCCTGAGCTGGGCTGGCTGGTGGGGTCGGAAAGCCTTGCTCAGCACCGGCTGAGTCACAGTTCTGAGCCGGGGCCAGGACGAGGTTTGGGGAGAACAAGGTCCCAGGGTAGGGCTAGTGGCCAAGGTCACATCCCAGATTCCATCCAGCGTGCGTCCCAGCTTTCCCCCGGCCCCCATTCCCACAGATAAACCAGAAGCCTTCCTGCGGGGAGCCCCAAAGCCTCTTTTAATAGCTCTGTGCCTCAGTTTCTCCTGCATTCTGCAGAGAATCAGGTTGGCTCAAAATTGGAAAGGGGTTGTGGGAGCTGTAGATCCAAGAGGCCAGAACAGCTGGCTGTGGCCAGAGGCTGTGCCTGTCCAGGATTTGGGGTCAGGGCAGCTCTCCTGCCTCCCCGCCCTCAGTGTCCCCAACCCACCTGCCTCAGCAGGCACTAGGCAGCCGGTCAGGCCAAGTCAGTGGAGAAGCTCAGCTCAGGGACCCTTCACACCCTATCTGTGGGACCTGGTGGGGAGGGGACCACCAAGCCCCTGGGTGGAGGGCCCTGAGGGAGGGGTGGGCAGGGCTGGGACATTCCAGGCTGAGGGAACCCCTTGGAAATTTGATTCCAGTCTCTAGTAGTGGGAGGGAGGAGCAAATCCTGAGTGTGTATGTGTTTGGGTGCATGTTTCAAGTCATGCACCTGAAGTTTGTGACTCTGTGTGAGCAACTGTCCACATGTCTGGGTCCAACTGCATTCGGAGAGTCTGCTATGAAAATTGTGTGTGTGTGTTGGTCCCCTCACCCCACCCCCAAGGTTTCTCCCTGGGCATGGGCGTGCGTGTGTGAGGCTGTGTGTATGGTTATGTGTGCAGATATGGCTGAGTGTATTGGTGTAAGTGGTTATGAGCATCTGTGTGTGTATGGGTGTAAATGTGTATGTGTGTGCACTCATGGGCCCTCTTCTGCACCATGAATTGGGCCTGTGTGACTCTCTGGGGGAGAGTTAATGTGATGGAGGTTCCCGTGCTGGCCGCCTGCTTGGTGTGTGTTGTAAGGGGAGAAGGCCCTTCTTATCCCTTGGCGCGTTAGGCGGCTGGGGCCTGGGTCCGGGCCACCTCTGCCCCTGGCAAGAATCCAGCAGGGCACTCGGTCTCGTCCCCTCCCCCTGCTCCTCCTACCCTCCCGCGCACCCGAGGGGCTCTGGCCCCGGGGGCTCAGCGTCTGCCCAGCCGGGGTCCGCAGTCTCGGTATTCCGGCCCGCAGGCCCCGGGTAGCTGCGGCAGCTGCCCCCTCCGCCCCTCCGCCCCCTCCTCCCTGCGCCCCTCCTTCCCTCCCGAGCGCGATTGCGGGCGGGGTGGGAGGAGATTTCGCCGGAGTTTCCATTTCATACCTCGCGGCTAAACTTTCTTTCTGTGTCTCACCCTCTTGCAGTCTGCAGCTTCTCCTGTCATCGGAAATGCCAAGCCAAGGTAAGGGGCCTCGAGGGCCAGCTGGCCCTGGGGTGAGGGGGGGCGGCTTAGGGACGGGACGCGCTGGGGTCCCGAGATTGGAGCGGCGGGGGCGCGGGGCGGGGGGGGGGGCGTCAATGGGGCGGGGTCGTCCCCTCCTCCTCTCTTTGTTTATGCAAAGCTTTAGGGCCCAAGCTGGCTCAGGTCAAGGTGAAGACGAGGGCCTGTGGTGGGGTGAGGGGAGCGAGAAGAATCCGGGTGGGGTGTGCGGTGCGCAGTCTCGCAGAGGGGCTTTTGAAGGTATTTCCCCTAGTTCTCAATGGGAATAGGGGTGTCGAGGGGGAGGGGATGTATTTCAGTTATTCTGCAAGCCACGCAGAGCACTGGTTGGCCCGATTTAGGCAGTTTAGAACAACTCCGGATGGGGCCACAGCGGCTGGGCTGGAGGGCAAATGAGCAGGAGGTGGAAAAGGGTCGGAGGTCAAGGTTACGCTGCTCCTGGAGCCTCCTGAATGGTCATCCTACTCTCTTTGTTGGCCAGGTCCCACTTTGGTCCTCAGTTCTCCATCAGTATCTGGGAGGGAAATTCCTAAATAATCCATCAGCTTTCCAGAGGTGGACATACCTGGCCTTCACCTTTCATATGCAGCCAGTGTCAGCCCTGTCCCTATTTTATTGCGTAGGTACCCTCTGCCCTCTCATCCCTACCATTGTGTTCACACTTGCTCTTTCTGGATGGAATTCGTTGAATGAAAAGAGGAGGGAGGGTGCATCAGAAAGGCGCATTGAGCAGTTGAAGTCCAAGACCTGGCGCATCTCCTGCTCTGCCTCTTATTGCCTGGGTGACCTTGGGCCGGTCATGGAACCTCCCTGAGCCTCCATTTTACCCTCAAAGATGCAGGAATAAGACAAGGTTATTATGAGGATGAGATGGGATAACGTGTGCAGTGCCCGGCACAGTGCCTGACATGGGGTAGGTGCTCAGAAACATCGCAGTTGATTATTACCAATTGGTAGCTCTGAGGGCCAAGGGTTACCATGGAGAAGCATGCTGATTGGAGCAGGCAGGACCGGGGGTTGGGGGGGGGGGGGGGATCTGCTTCTTTCTGCGTGAAAGCTCGCCGCCTTGCCGGGGGACATTCCCCCGCCCCTCCGGGAACTCCAGGCTGTAGTGTTGTCCAGGCAGAGGGCCTGGCTCGCAGGGGGCGCATCTGCAGTCTCTGCGTCTCCCTTGGCTTCCACCTTTCTGATGCCCTGAGCTTTTTCTTCCTTAAGTGGGAATTGAGTTTCTGCTTCTCTCTCCATCTTCCTCCTTTTTCTCTTCATCCAGAGTAGAGTTCTTCCACCCTTTACCCCAGAATCTTCTAGTGTTCTTGCTTCTTCCCAGTCGACCCCCTCCCTACCCCCCTTCCTGCACTTGTTTCTCTTCACAACAATGACATCTGTACAGTGCCCTAGGCCTTAGAAAGCACTTCAGTGCATTATCTGATTTCATTCTTTTAATTCCTTTACAACATAAAACAGGCTGACAGAGCTGTAGTTTTACAGATAAGGAAACTGAGGCATCCAAAGGTTGAATGACTTTCCCAAGGTATTGCAGTGTAATATCTCACTCATCTCTGTCCCTGGGCCTTTGTGCTTGCTTCTGAGTGTCCCTTGCCTACCAGCAGACATTTCTTGATCCTCACCTGCCCTTCCCCTTTTGCCTCCCATCTCCTGCAGCAGTGGTTACAGTTAGAGAGGACGAGGGGCCGTGAAGGGCCTGAATAGGGCCAATGGGGGGCCCAGAGACCCGAGCAGGTGCGACAGAGCCAGCCTCTTGCACAGTCACCTCCTGTGTGGAGGCAGAGGGGTGCTAAATGTGACTTCTGAAGGGGTGTAGCCTGCCTAGCAGTTCTGGCATATGCTGGGGCTCAGGATGCACCAGGCTGCAGCAATACTGCTCTGCCCAGCCAAGGCCAACCAGGAGGGGAGAGGTGGCCTGGCAGTGACTGGATAGACAGATAGGGCTTGTTATAGGATTTTCCTCTATTAGGAAATCGGACCCACTGGTGGTGTGAGCCCCACCCAGCTGGCAAGTCTCCCCATAAACCACAGCTCTTACTACTGGCCTGCCTTTTCCTCTTGCTGGGAGGGGTGATGTGAGTCCCAGAGCACATAGCAGAGCCCTGTCCTCTGCATTTTATAACCAGGTCCCCTTGGAGGTCCTCTCATCTGTTCCCCTACCTCGAGACAGGACTCATTAAACAAATGTTTACTGAGCTCTTTTTGTGTGCCAGACACTGTTCTAGGTGAACAAGAGAGATAAGGCCTTTGCTCTCATGGGACTGACATTCTAATAGGGAGATAGATAGTAAATAGGCAAACAAGTCATGCAAGAGAATGAGTTAGAGCAGTGGGTTAGAGAGGGATTAGGCTTGGGTGGCCCAGGAAAATTTCTCAGAGGAAGTATTGTATAACATGACACCTAACTGATGTTCCATGACGATCTGAGAGATGAAAAGAACAAGTGCAAAGGCCCTGAGGTGAGATGAGCTTGTTTGGCTTGAAAGAAGATGTGTGGTGAAGAGTAGTGAGCCCTAGAGGGGTTTTGAGTGACATGATCTGATGATCTCCACTTTGAGAAGGCCGCTCTGGCCCTGAGCAGGCACTGGGAGATGAGCCAAGAGGCCACTGATGTTGCCCAGGTAAGAGGGGCTGGTGGCTTAGTCCACGGTGCTCTCGGGAAAGATTGTGAGACGGGGCCAGGTCTGGGATGCATCCTGGGGTGGAGTCCAGAGCCTGGCTGATGGATGAGGATGTTGGGTGTGAGAAAGAGAATGGGCTCAAGGATGTCTCCCCGGTTTTTGGCCAGAGTAACCAGGTGCACGTGGTTCCATTTATTGTACTGAGATAGACGAAGTGTGTGAGAAATTTCTAGGAAGAAGGCGCCAGAATTTCTGCTTTTGCTTGGTTTCTTATTTCACAGTTCTTCTCCCACACACTGGGGTTTTCTTGCTGAGGTTGGTCCTCTCCTGTCCTCTCAAATTCAGCTCACACTGGCCACCCCTCCAGTAAGTGGTTGGTTCTGGATGCCTTCATACCACCTTCCAGACTGTTCCTACAGCATGAACCCATGGCTTGGAGTGCATGTGTGTTAATTATATGTAGCAATACAATGCAACTGAAAGCAGCAACAAATGTTTATTATCTTTTATAGTTTCTGTGGGTCAGAAATTTGGGAGCAGCTTAGCTGAACGTCTGGCCTGGAGTCTCATGTAATAACAGTCAAGATGTCAGCTGGCCTGTAGTCATTTGAGCACCTGATTGGGGCTGGAGAATCTGCTTTCAAGGTGGTTTATTCATGTGACTAGAAGTTGGGGCTGGCTCTTGGCAGAACATCTCAGCTTTTTGCCACGTAGACCTTTCCAGAGAGCTGGTTGAGTGTCCTCGCAACATGGCGGCTGGCTTCTGAATCACCAGTGGGTGATTCGAGAAAGTGCAAGGTAGAAGCCATATCTTTTATTTTCTAGCCTTGGAAGACACACACTGTTATTTCTACAATATCCTGTTGGTTACACAGGTCCTGACCATTGTGTGTGGGAGGGGCCTATATAAGGACATAAATACCTGGAGGCTAGAATGAATGGGTGCCATCCTAGAGGCCATGAGCCACAGATGCTTGGAGAGAGTGCTAGGCTGACCTGGTTCTTGGGAGGCCATGGGGTGGGATAGGGATCAGACATACCTGGGTTTGAACTCCACTCCTGCTGCCTTCCAGCTTTGTGAGCTGGGTTGTAGAGGATTAAATGCACATCCACATACAGTAGGTACCCTTCTCCTTTTTTTGGAACCACAGGCGAAGACTGGAAAGGAGCCCAGGTAATAATCTGTGCCCTGTTCCTTGCTACTCAGACCTGCCTGAGAGAAAATGCTCAGTGCTGAAAGAGGAGGGGCCCCGGTGCTCAGCTCAGGGTAGATGTTAAATACATGTTTATTGCACAAATAAGGATAGAGAGATATGTTGCATCCTCAGCTTTTAGGACAGTGCCTGGTCTGTAGTGAAAGTTTCAACAAAGGAGTAAAGAAGGGAAATAAAGGAATATTGAAAAAAAAAAAAGGTTTCTTTTTAGGGAGAGGGGGGTGGGGAGGGGGGACAGATGAGAGCAGGAAAGAGGAGAAACAGCAAAACCACTTTTTAATTCCCTTCCCCAAAACCCTTCTATCTCCTGACACAGAGGCGCTCCAAACAGTAATCCTAGTCATTTACATTTTCTAGTTGCGTTATCACTCACATACTGTCAAGTACACAAATTGATCAATTGGTCCATGTACATGAACCAGATCAGGATCTAGAACATTTCTAGCGCCCCAGAAGCAGCACCTGCGCTGCCCCCCAGGTCAGCATCCCCCAAAGGTAATTGTGATTCTGACTTGTACCATCAGAGATTAGTTTTGCCTCTTTTTGAATTTTATAGAAATTGAATCATACAGTATGTTTACTCTTGTGTCTGGCTTATTTCACTCAACATTATGTCTGGGAGGCTCATCTGTGTTCTTGTGCGTGGCAGTGGTTCATTCTTTTTTATTGCTCTGCTGTATTCCCTGTGTTGAATCAACCGCAATTTATTTATCCGTCCGGCTGTTGATTGCCATTTGGGTTATTTCCACTTCTGGGCTGTTGTGAACAGACCTGCTCTGAATATCGAATCACCTGTGTCTACGCAGAACTGTAACACACACAACGTTTTCACTCACCTTCTCAGTTCTGTGAGGTGGGCGGCGCTCGTGGTAACCCCACCTTCTAGATCCCAGTTGAGGTCCGGGGAGGGTAATTGGCTAAGGACATTTGGGCACAGTGGCCTTCTACATGATTCTGGCACTGCCCTGGGATAAATGGGTGGAGAGCAGGTGAGAAGGGGAGAGAGAACAAGAGCCAGTGAGAGAGATAGACACACACAGAGAGACGGCGCTGGGGCAGGCGCTAGAAACTCGCCGTCGTTGGTGGAAACCCCGCTCCCCAGCTCTCCTCCAAAGTCTCT